GGAAAAGGCCCGGGGAGCACGCCCGCAGCGGGACAGCCCAAGCGCACCTGGGCGGCTTTGCTCCCGGGCAAACGAGCAAACAAGCAAAGCCGCCCAGGCGGCGGCTTTGCTCAGGTGTCCCTGGTCTGCTGGGGGGGGTCCAGTGGCTTTGCTGGACCCCCCCAGCAGACCAGGGAGACCGGGAGAAGCTTTTCTCGCCCCGGAGGACACGGGTGGCGACCCGCCGCCTGGGAGCTCTGGGGCGAGAAAAGCCCCGTTCATAAGTGCGAATCCGACATAAGTCAGATCCGCGTAAGTCGGGGACTGCCTGTACAGCTAAATTGTTGTAAAGAAAATTTATTTGTAAATAGTTGTTATATAAAAGTCAGCTTACATTGTAAGAAAAAAATTGGAGCATTATCTAATTTTTTTTCAAATATCAAAATATCAAATCAAAATAAAGTTCACATCTAAAGTCAATATAAAGTTTACTTTCAGTGTGACACTTGGGCTTGTTTCTTTTTGCACAAATGTTGAATTCTTGGCCGAATTTTTGACAAACACACTCGCAGTTCTTCCTCAACAGACAGCAGACTATTTCTTTCTTTGCTTTCAATATTTGTAAGATATGAGAAAGCTTGTTCACAGAAATAAGAAGTTGAAAACTGGAGTAAGATGTTCACTGCTTTTACTGAGATCACAGGATACTCTCTTCTTATTGAAATCCAAAACACATCAAGCGGCACTTCATTGCATTTTATCTTCAAAATTCAATCGCACTGTAATTCAGTCAGTTGTTCTTCTTGCAGACCGAGTAAATTTTGTGAGAACGCAACAAAAAGGTTCCGAATCCTGTCATACATTTCTGATGACAAAGAAGGAAAGTATTGGTCAAGCTTTTTTGTCAGTGGTTCCAAATGACTGGTAATTAATGGGATGACTTCTTTATAATCTGTCTGACTCTGAAACTGAAGTAGGAGTGGAAGCATTTCAATATTTCCACTTGAAAGGTGTCTTTTCCAAACCTTGAGTTTATTCTTGAATGCAAGAAGTTTGTCTGTGGAAGTTTGACTATTTTCTTTTAGTCCCTGCATGGTGGCATTCCAGGTGTTTCAGTGCTGATAAGTATCTGCTAAGTAGGCTAGTTTCAGCAGCCATTTTGTATCTTCAAGAAAGTTAGAAAAACTGCCTTTATTATTTTTGAAGAAAAGCAGTAGTTCCCCTCCAGCTCAAATACCTTCATTAAAACTTTCCCTCTCGAAAGCCACCTAACATCGGTGTGTAGAAGAGTCACATGGTCTTGTTGCATATTTTTACACAGCTTTGCAAACAGGTGTGACTTAAGAGGGTACTGCTTTATAAAATTGACCATGTTCACAGCTACATCAAGGGCTTGTTTTAAATCCTCCCCAATAGTTTTTGGAACAAGAACTTCCCGGTGGAGGAAGCAGTGGGTCATTAGGACATCAGGGTTTTTTTCTTTGATGAGTGTAACAGAGTTTTATTGAGCCAATAATTGAGGAGGTATTACAAGTTCCCTCAGTTACACACCCTCCCCCTCACCGTGCGGCGATTGTTTGTTGGTGCAGACACCTGCTTTTTAGTTCTCTACCATTTGCTTTACTCCTAACAACATTGATACCGGATATAACCCTCCAGCGTATTTTGTTGGCTGGCCCCTAGGATCGGGGAAGGGGGCTCAGGCCCTCCCTCTCTCTGAGCCCCAGCCCAGGACCCGAAGGCGGGGACACTCGTTCCTGCTAAGTGGAGAGGGTACTTGCGGGTTCCGCAGCCCCACCCTGGGCTACTTCTTCCCCCATGCTTTCACTAGTTCCCGACCTTCGGGTCGAGACTAGACTTACCGCTCTCAGCCCCCTATAACGAGTGCAGCTCCCCTTCCCTGGTCGCCCCATGTGTCCTCGGCCCCACCCTTCCACATATCATCCGTCCGTGCTGGCCCTGTTGGGTGGGTAGTGTTCTCCGCTCCTCTGCCTGCCCTTGCCTCGGCCCTTTCCTGGCTGCGGCTTCCCGGCGCGTAACCTGTCTCCACGTGGTCCCTCCCCATACTCTCCGTCCCGAGGTCCAGGGGCCGGCTTCAGTGAGGGGCAGAGACACCCTGTCCGCTCCATGATAAACAACAGGATTCCAAATAAGAAGACAAGATGTTGAAAATGTCTTGACCTTTGGTCGTTTCTGACAGCTCTTTACAAAAACAAAATTTTTTCATTATTTCACCTTCATTTTCAAATCATACAAATGCCAACAGCTGAGCTTTACTTGTTACATCTGTTGACTCGTCGACTTGGAGACCAAAGTTAATATTTTTTTAGTATTTCAGACAAGACATCTTCAATGTTGTGTGACGTCATCCACATGCCTACTAATAGTATTATTAAAACCAGGAACTTTGTCAATTTCACTTTCAGCCTCTTTGCCTATCATTGTACTCACTATTATTTTACAAGCAGGCATTATTAGGCTTTTAGCAATAGTGTGACTTTTCATTTTTTTGTGCAACTAGCTCAGCTACTAAATAGTTGCTTCTTGACCCTTTTCACTGATAGTTACCTTCTTCTCAAAAACTTTACATTGTTTTCCTTGTGAATCCAAAAGTCATTGAAAGTAATCAACTGTTTTATTTGACAAGCAGCCATGATTAGTAGTGAAGTATCAGTTTAACTTGGCCGGGGTCATAGCTGTGTTAGTTTTCCCCTGCAAACAATGCACTATGGAATGGGGCAATTTTCATCTCCAGTCCACGTAAAACCCATGGCCAAGTAACTGTAATTGTAAAGGCGAGTTTTTTTAATATCAGTCACTTCTCTTCCTGTTTCACTCGTACTTGGCTCTGATAATTTTGATTCATTTTCACTGTCCTCTCCTTCACTGGCATGCCTTCTTTTCACATACTTCCACATTTTTTTTTATTTTCGACGGCCGTATGAAAATACTGTTACACGGGTGAGATTTTAGATACACAAAAACAACCACAGTTTCTGTAAAAATGTTAATTACAAAACTACACAAAGACAACAAATCTACAAAATAGCGAACGATCATAACGTGCACTAGAAAAGACTAGAAATGTGGAGAATACTGGGAAGCAGAAATACTGGGAAGCCGGACAAATATTCCCACGATATTTTGAGGGATATTTGGAATTTCAAAATTTTTATTTATTTATTCCATGATTTCTCATGGAACCCCTGACGATGGTCTATGGAACCCTGGTTGGGAAACACTGGGCTACACTGTAGGAAGAGGGGGCAGAACTGAGCTCTTTCCCCCTCAGCACATGCCCATTTGGAAGTGAAGCCTGGCACTACCTTGTGGACAGGATCAAAGCCCGAGGTGGGCTGGATTCTGCCCATAGAGAACATTTTACTCAACCACTATGGGCTCAATCACTAAAGGGCTTCTCTCTTGTGTGGGTTCTCTGATGTACAACAAGGCTTGAACTCTCACTATAGCATTTCCCACAGTCAGAGCAGTTAAAGGGTTTCTCCCCTGTGTGAGATCTCCTATGTCTAACAAGATGTGACCTACGACTAAAACTTTTCCCACAGTCAGAGCAGCTGAAGGGTTTCTCTCCTGTATGAGATCTCCAATGTCTAAGAAGGCTTGAGCTCTCACTGAAGGTTTTCCCACAGTCAGAGCAGCTGAAGGGTTTCTCTCCTGTATGAGATCTCCTGTGTTTAAAAAGGCTTGTGCTCTGACTGAAGCTTTTCCCACAGTCAGAGCAGATGAAGGGTTTCTCTCCTGTGTGCGTTCGCATATGGTCAACAAGATTTGACCTCTGACTGAAGCTTTTCCCACAGTCAGAGCAGCTGAAGGGTTTCTCCCTTGTGTGGGTTTTCTGATGATTAATCAGGCTTTTGTTGTGACTGAAACCTTTCCGACGGACAGAACCGCTAAAGGGCTGTTCTCCTGTGTGGGTTCTCCTATGGTTGATAAGTTGTGACCTCCAACTGAAGCTTTTCTCACAATCAGAGCATTTGAAGGGTTTCTCTCCGGTTTGGGCTCTTTCATGTTTAATAGGAGTTGCATAGTCACTGCAAGTGCACGATGACTGTTGATGGGGGATTTTCTTTTGAACAGTTTCTGTGTTTGTTATCAGCCTTCTGTTCTTGGGACTGGATTTACCCAGTCCCACTCCTGGATGTTTTCCGGCTGCCTTTGTAGGCTATGCTGACTTTCACAAGTCTCTCCTTTCTCAGGACTCTGAGAAACATGCCCTTCAGATCTTCCCACTAATACCCCACATGGAGCCATTCGCTCAGGTCCATCCTGCCGAAGACTCCTCTCACTGTTTTCATTCAGCATCCCAACACCTGCTGGGATAGAGAGAGAAATCATTCTCTGTGCTGAGCTGAAAGAAAAAAATCTGAACAGCGAATAGAAAATGGGACGCACCCAAAAAATGCTGGAAAGGTTCAATAATCATCAGCTGAGTTCACCCTGCTCCCGCATAACCATTTCCCCACCCAGCACCCTCAGACAGAAGGGACAGTCAGATTTGATGAAAACAGGCAACTGACATCTGCTATGAGAACATAGAAATTGGTTTCTGAGTCACTTTACTTGATTTCTCACCTGTGCAGGTGTCACTGATGATCTCCCCTTCCTCACAGCCTTGGAGATCTGGGATCCACAGCTCTTCCCCTTTCTCCACCCAGGAGAGCACATGGGCTTTGGAAACTGGAAATCCTATTCGGGAAGCAATTAACCAAGTGATG